AAAAACAATTTCTTTCTCTATATTTCATTTAAAATAAATCTAAAAATATTTCGTTTTCCGAGTCTTTGTTTTTATAGCAATGTTTCAGTCATTCATTCATTCACTCAACGATTTTATTGATTAAACTTTTCTCAGTTTTTCTCAATACTTGTGTCCAAAAAACACAGTATTATATAAAAGCTAGACTATTGTGTGACTGACATATCATAAGAAAAGTTTAGTAGTTTAGTATTTTTGAGAGAGAGAGAGAGAGAGAGAGAGAGACCAATAGTTTTCATATAACTATATATGAAATGCAAGTATAATAGAGAGAACTGGGAGTTTATATGCCATACAAACAATACAAGTTAGTAAAGGGACTGTTTTAGTCATACAGACAATGGATATACTGTAATATAACGAGACATACATTTCATGGGATATAATGAAAATCAATTAATAGAAGAGTTTTTGTATTGAATTTCTTTTCCACTCTTTTTATATCCCATTATTATATTCACTCTATTATTACAATATAACTGCTATTCTAAGACATACATTTCATGGGATATAATGAAAATCAATTAATAGAAGAGTTTTTGTATTGAATTTCTTTTCCACTCTTTTTATATCCCATTATTATATTCACTCTATTATTACAATATAACTGCTATTCTATACGAAAATGTTTTTGTGTATCACTACTAATACTATTGACATTTCCATCGAAACCCTTGTATTGGGGGAACAGGCGGTCGGTATAGTGTGCTATCGACGGGTGAACTCCATATCCATTCGGTGGATGCGGTCAGTGATAGTCAGCGGACATACCGGTGCCAAACGAAACACAAATTGAGTTCAGAAGTCAAGTTAAGCTCCAATTCCGGGCGACTTATAGTGACGGGTGAGACACCACACGACCTCTCCCTTTGGCTCCCATTCCCCTCACATATACCCGTATAAGACGTGGCATTATATACACAAACACAACACTCCTTCACATAATTAATTGCTTTTTATAACAATATTTCTCTTTTCCATGTATTCCTAGCAATGGATAACATATTGTATTTCTCACACAAAAACACTGTTTTAATATAAATTACATTAATTACAGAATATATGGCACAGCAATAGACGGATATTAATCACTGAAAAATAAAATTTATGACAAATTTCCCAAAAATAACATATTGTATTTCTCACACAAAAACACTGTTTTAATATAAATTACATTAATTACAGAATATATGGCACAGCAATAGACGGATATTAATCACTGAAAAATAAAATTTATGACAAATTTCCCAAAAATTTTTAAACAGCAAAAAGAAATTATAAAGAAAAACAAAAAAATATCTTATTTTTATAATTACTTATATTATTTGACAGAATATAATGGATTTTATACCATAAATATTTACATCTTGTTTTGTTTATTTATTATGACTTTATTATATTATACAGTAATATGTTAATAAAAACCCAACTAGACCATATTTAATTTCTATGAAATAGTGTTCAAAATGTCATATAATCGAGATTCATATTAAAAAATTAAATATTTTCAAAAACAAATAAAGTTTGTAATTTAAAATTATTTTCAAAAACTGCTTATAGTTTACTGAAAAAATAATAATTACAATGAAATCACAACCATTTAGCTAATTTTATGAACAATAATAAAATTAATATTTTTATTATAACTATTTTACAGTTTTATAACTAAACATTAAGAAATTTTTAAATAAACCTACATATCAAATTAACCAAGGTCAATTACAATAAAATTCAATTCCACATTGTATTATATTTACTAAATTATTTAAAAACAAAATTAAAACAATATTTACCCCATAATTAGAGTCTCATTCAAATTTATCGCCAAAAATAACGACAACTTCGCGACAAATCGTGTCAATTGTGGGCCAAAACCTGGAGCTGTTGTGCAACTGCCAGGGCTTCCCACCCCCTCTCGTGTTGTGGTATAAGTTTAATGAGAAAAACCAATTACTCGAACGGCTGTCCACTCTGTCCGAGCAATTGGTGCCAAACCCGAGACGTGTTGTGCAGATCTACTCGTCTCTCATCATGAAGTCCCTGTCCATCGACGACACCGCCAAATATGTGTGCGTTTGTAATAACAGTGTCGGTCAGGACAGCACTCACATCCATGTCCTCGTCAGAGGTATGTTGTCCTACCATTTTATACTTAATAATGAATTTTATTAGTTAATTGAATAAATTGTCTTACCATTGCATCCCTTTCCCTTTAAATGCTCAAAAGTTAACTTCTTATTCTTGTCTTTAATCATATTTATATAAAAATTAATTTAAAATTTACTACATATTTAAATGAGTAATATCAAATATTTACAGTTTTCCTATGTTCATTACAAAATACTCTCACAGTCAGTTACTTTTTATCTAGATTAATTTTGTTTTTATTTAATAGATAATATATTGTATTAAAACTGTAAATTGGTAATTAAATTATTATTAAAATATACTAGCTTTTAAAATTAATCTATTATTGGGACATACAAAGAAGTTCATTTAAATAAACTTGTACAAATTGAAAAATGTTATGCATAATGATAAAAATTGTTGTTTCACTATTTTGATGATTTCATAATTAAATAATAAATCGAAAATTTTCTGCTTATTAAGCAATTTCTCATTTCTCTCGAAACCATTTCCAACATATTTAACACACGAATAGATATTCTGCGGGTTTTCCACCTCTCATATACAGTACACACAGAATATTCTGGATTTTAATAATTTAATCAATATTTAAAGACGAGTAGAATATTCTTAACAAATGTATTATAACTAAAAATCGTAATTATCGACTCGGTTTCCCACATATATATAGCACACAGAATATTCTGTACGCAAAATTCTTTAAGCTTTTAATAATATGTCTGAGAGTTTAAAGAGAATATAAATTTCATCTCAAAATTCTTGTGACATATTCTGTGAATAACGCGTTTTCCCACTAATATTGTCATCACTCGAGAAAATATATTTTAAACGATTTTTAAATTAAGTTTATATTTGCGTACAAAACACTTTAGCCTAGTTAATTGACAACAAAAAAATTTAATTAAAATCTTTTGATCGTTTGTTATAATTAATTATTTTTATATGCAAAAAAGTTTTTAGAATAGTTTTTTACATTATTAATAATGTGATTATATTGTAGTATAATAAAAATATTTCTAAGTTTTAAAAACTTTACACAAATTGTATTTGAATTATAAATCCTTGTAAAGGTATTTTGTAATTAATTTTTTCCTGAAATAATTTAAATTAAAAACTAATTTAAAATTAAAATTCTTTAAAAACTATTTTTAACAAAAATTATTTAATTAATTTTTAATCCCTGTCCAAAAACAGCACCACTAATCGTAAGCGTTAGCCCATCGCATATGTTGGTAGGTGTGGGCGATTCAGTGGACCTCAACTGTAGTGTATTGGGAGCACCGGTAGTATATGTGATGTGGAAAAGGAATGGCAAACCTATTGTATATAATAATAGAATACAACTATTGAATGAACATTCATTGCATATCAAACAAATTACTTCTCAGGACCAGGCTATGTATGTAAGTAGATATCTATAAATAAGCTTATACAATATATTATTAAATAAACAAGACCATAATCAAGTAAATATTTATCGACATTTAGATTTAATTTTGTGAGTGTTTAAGTAATTCAATTAAATATTCTTATACCATTGGTAAATAATAAATATATAATTATGAGTAATTACAGTTTGTATATAAATTTAGGAATTTAAAATATTTTATTTAAAAATAACTCTTTGTAAGTTAATTACTCAATATTATTAGAAAGTGTCAATCCACGTTATATTTATCATATATATTAAGATTTTGAGAATAATTTTATTTAATCAGTTATATAAATTACAAGAACATTTCTAAATTATATATAATTAAAACAAATTTTTGAAATATATAGTGTTTTTCAGTACAAATGCCTATTTGTCTAATAGTTTGTCACACACTATATGCACTCAATTAGAGTCACTCGTATCCATCAAAAAGTTTTATAATTAATTCCCAAATGATTTTCACAAAGCATTTAATACTTGTGTAGAGAATAAACTCAACAAATTTGTGTGTATTTTAAACCCAGGTTTTATTTTTACTATTTTTAACGCAAAGTAGAAATTTATGCAAAAGTCGTTTAAGTTTTCATAAAATTTCATTCAGTTTTGAATTGTGTTTAAAATGGGAATTATATTCACAGATGAATACTAATTAAGGTTTAAAATGAAGTGAATTTGTTTTGAAATCTTTTTCGTTTTCCTCATTTGATTAATGAATGCAAAAATATTTTTATTTGAATTGTGTTTAAAATGGGAATTATATTCACAGATGAATACTAATTAAGGTTTAAAATGAAGTGAATTTGTTTTGAAATCTTTTTCGTTTTCCTCATTTGATTAATGAATGCAAAAATATTTTTCTATATCCCATAAAGACTTCAAATTTAATTTTGCATTAAACACTTAAAATTTAATTACCATATTACTTAAACTCTCTCACCCCTCCCTCTCTTCCATTCCTCCATTACTGATAATAAACTGTAAAATTATTGGTAAATATTTTCAAACTTTATAGTATAATAGACTTTTAAATAAATGGTCATATCGTTTGGTTTTATAATATTTTGCAATTTACAGAATATTCTTGACATTAATTCCAATTCCTATTCTCAATAGCAATGCATAGCAAGCAATGAATGGGAAAGCAGTGCCTCGAGTGCGGAGGTGTCGCTCGTATGGGACGGCCCGCACTTCACACATACCTTCCCACCAATGGAGCCGTTAGTGCCGGGAATGACACTATCGCTCAAATGCTCGGCCACTGGACTACCTCTGCCTCAAATCATATGGACAGTGGACGGGCAGTCCGTCTCAGACAACTGGCGCCTACGGATCGGCGATTACGTGAGCAGTGATGGAGTCGTCAACAGTTATGTCAACATCACTAACATCCGGGTCGAGGACGGAGGCCTGTAAGTGGACACAAGTTATTCAGATTACATCATATTTTACAAAATCATATTTTATATATTATAAAGATATCATAAAATATTTAATATTACAAATTGTCGTAATTACCAGGTTGTAGTTCATAATTGCCATAACATAATAATCAAATTCTTTCCTATAATATAAAAATAATTCAAATATATATTTACAGTTTTAATTAACATTACTGTAATTATATAAAATAATCTACAGTATATAATTTATACTAATTTAGTAATTTTTAATTGAATAATTTATATGTTTATTATATAATTGTACGTAACTCTTTTATTGCATATAAATTTATTGCTCATATTAATATAAAGTAGATTTAAATTTAATTTAGAAATCCTGGCACAATAAACATAATTTAAGGCTGTAATTAAATATTTGAATTAATTATATAATATACTGAAATTTTAATTAATCTAATTTTGGATAAGGTTCTCCCACAGATATTTTCTAATACTTTTACTTAATATTATTAAGTCTATTACATTATTAAATTAAATTCAGTGGAAATAAAAAGTATTAATATTTGAATTGAAAACGCATTTCAGATACAAGTGTTTGGCGTTGAATGGCATGAATACAGCCGTCCATCACAATCGGGTCGTAGTCTTGGGGCCGGTATTTGTGCG